GTTGAATTTCATGAACTACTCCTCGTCTCAAAACAATGCACCTGATATGGACGATGCTGAGCAATAGGCGACTGCGTGTCTATATGGGCGACAAAGCTAGCTCACCGCGGTTCCTCAACAAAGGATTGCCACAAGGTTCAATACTCGTGCCAAAGCTCTTCAATGTCTACACCAGTGACATGTCACCAACTGGATCACCTAAATTTGTATATGCGGATGACCTTGCCCTGGCAACATAAGCATCCACTTTCAATTACACCGAATACACTCTCAACAAAGACCTAATCACCTTGGGGGAATATTTCCAGAGATGGAGGCTCAAGACAAATCCACACAAAACAGCAGTCACTGCATTTCATTTTGAGAATAGGAATGCCAAGCACACTGAAAGTAACCTTGTGTGGCAACACTGTGCGACATGATCTCACTGCAACCTATCTCGAGTGAAGCTGGATCATATGCTAACATGAGAGGAAGGCGCCTTACAAATAAATGTATATTATTATTAACCTGGTCCAGAAACTGGCAAGCACAAGCTGGGGAGCATCCAAGACCAATATGATCCTGGGGATCATCAGCACCAGTGCTACAGACATCAAAGATGGCCTGTGTACTATGTAGCCAAATACTAAGTATTCACACTCCACTTGTTGATGTCCAACTGAACACTGCAATGCAGTGTATCAGTGGAACCCTCAAGTCGACCCCAACACCCTGGTTGCCCATGCTGTCACACATCGCTACCAAACTCATCCACCGAAACGCTGCAATTAATCAGGAGCTAACCAACATCCCTCGTCACCACTTGAAGTCATGCAGGCCCTTTTGGATGCTTAACCTTAAACAATTCAAATTCAACAACAATGAAGCCTGGAGAGGCGAATGGAGTCCAAAATAACTCGCAAACACCTTGTGAAAGACCCACGGCAGTAGATCCCTGGGTATAAACCCGATTTAGGGTGGACCATGAACTTTGTGGATCACCACAAAGTTCATGGTCCACCCTAAATGGCATCCGCACAAGCCATGGCAGATGCGGATACCTGATGCAAAAGAGGAAAATGAAAAACTCCAATGTGCGACTGTGGTCATCCAGAAAAGACCATGGAATATATGACACGATGCCTGATCCACCAATACGAAGGAGACATCACAGCGATACACTCCGCTGCTCCTGACACGGTTATCTGGCTGACCACCTGAATGTGAAATTGTAATTGTTGCTCTGCGATTGTACACTGCAGTGAAGTCAAAGTTAGATATGGAGAGCCTTGGTAACCTCGAATATTCCACGCCGGAGCGGCACATGTGGTTTGTACGAAACAAAATGCTGCTTAATACAGACTAAATTAGAGGTTCTGCTGGTTGGCACTCAGGCTCAGGGGAAAACAATTGTGGATCAGATGTGGCAGAGACTCCAGGATTCAGTTTTCTACTCCTCTAAATAATCTCGGTACCATCCTCGACCAGAATGTCGTTTGATCACCATGTGTAAAATATATTCAGGCCCTGAAATATTCATATCAGGGCTCTACGACACATTTTACCACTATTGAGTCGTAACGTCGCAACACGGTAGTGTGTAGCATAGTTTTGATAAAGTTGATTATTCCAACTCACTATACTCTTTGGTTTTTCGGTAAAGTCACGTAGGTAGAAAATAAAATAAATCACGTTTTGGGCACAACACAAGCATCCGTCATCAGGTGGGAAAGCATGGTCTGCTGCTGAGGCAGACTGTTTTAAAAGGTTTGAAATGGATGTAGCCCAAGGGTCATAAAGAAGTGAAACTGACGCCATCCAGACTGCCACTCTACGCTCGAGCTTATGGAAGAGGTACGTGGATGACACCTTTGTCATCTGGCCACATCGCCAGCCTGCTTTAGACCAATTCCGCGACCACATCAATTCCATACACCCAGCCATCAGATTTACCATGGAGGTCGAAAAAGATGGCAAACTACCCTTTTTAGATGTCTTAATTAAAAGGAGACATGATGGTTCAATGAGCCACTCTGTCTACAGGAAAGCCACCCATACAGATGCTTACTTGAAACCGGATTCCCACCACCATCCATCCCAGAAGAACTCCCTCATCAAGACTCTATACCATAGAGCCCAATGCATTTCCGACCAGGAACACATTACCAGTGAACTCAAGCACGTACACCAGGCTCTCAGGGCTAATGGTTACTCCGACTACACAATCCGCAAAGCCATCACTCCAGTCATGAAGAAGGATCCTCTTGTGGAGCCACTCAAATCCATCACCTTACCCTACATTGCAGGGGTCACTAAAAAGATCTCCAAAATCCTGAATAAACACAAGATCGAGGTCCGATTCAACACAGTACATAAAATCCGTGATCTAGTTCCATCTGTAAAAGATGCTGTTCCAGACATACAGTACCCAGGCGTTTACAAACTAAAGTGCCTCTGTAGAATTAGCTACATTGGAGAAACCAAACTACATATCTCGGACCGCATCCGCGAACATAAAGCAGACTTGAAACACGGTAGAACGAACTCCTCTGCCGTGGCAGATCACTGTTATAATTCAGTGGGCTCACATGACATTGACTTCTCCAAGACGGAGATTCTTTGCAAACCAACCGGCTACCATGAGAGATTCGTTCATGAGGCCATTCACATATACAAGCACAGAGACAATTTCAACCGAGATGGATTCTGGCTTAGTAACCATTGGAAAGATGTTTTAAACCATTTCCGTTAATTGTATTTTACGATGACCTTCAGACCGCAGCTCTTTCGCTGGCATTGACTCTTAATACCTCTCACACCACGGTTAATAGTATGGTTTACAACATGGAGTATAACAGCGCCTCGCAGCTGTCTCTCTCCCCCTCCTCTGTTCCGACCATGGATGAACTCGTCCGTCTGAACGGGACCCGTAGCTATCCGTGTTGCTAAAGTTGAGGGTAAGAATCCACCCATTTTTTCGCCATATAGCATTGTGATATATAACGACGTATTGTTGGTAGCTTAGCTGATTGGAGAATATATAGAGTTTATTGATAACATTGAGGTAATTTATATTTTAGTTTTTTATTGGTTCACTATATAGTATTCATTATATATTGTAGTGTATACCCAGTTACTGTGAATAGCTCAGATGTGTAGGCCTTGACTTCAATATAGCCATTTCTGTGACCAGCCACAAGCTAATCACTCAGTTATTTCAATGCTAAATTCGCCTAGTTATTTCTATGCTAAATTATCCTGTTTGATTTGTACTAGGTGCCTCTGTGAATGTGTATGCTCTGATTTTAACATAGCTATTTCTGTGACCAGTTACAAGCTAATCACTCAGCTATTTCAATGCTAAATTCTATGCTAATTCCTTTGTCAAGGGGTGCCTCTGCGGATGTGTATGCTTTAACTTAGCTATTTCAATGCTAAATTCTATGCTAATTCCTTTGTCAAGGGGTGCCTCTGCGGATATGTATGCTTTAACATAGCCATTTCTGTGACCAGTCACAAGCTAATCACTCAGCCATTTCAATGCTAAATTCTATGCTAATTCCTTTGTCAAGGCGCTTTGTTTCTTCTCACAGCTTAAAGGTTGCGATCTGAGCGTGGCTTTTTCACTCCAGCGCTGTCCTCCAGACAGTCTCGTCCCTTCACCTGAAGGCCGCTTGTGTTGTGGCCGAAACGTCGTGAGAATAGTTATTTTATTTAATCAATTTATTATTTTATTCTCATTCTACGTGACTTTACCGAAAGAACCAAAGAAGGGGACTAGTTATGTTAATGTGAGAAATTAGCATGTAACTGTAAGATAGAACGGCATCCTTGACGAGGGCACGGAAGTGGCTATGTTAATGTGAGAGATTAGCATGTTAATGTAAAATCGAAGAGTGGTGCAATCCAAAGGCATGAGTGCAACCCAACGGGTGCAATCCAAAGGGCATGCGAGTATGAGAGTGCAATCCAAAGGCATGAGAGTGCAATGCAAAGGACATGTGAGCATGAGATCGAAGAGAGAGGCAAAGAGACAGAGTCGGAAATAACAGCTGACATAGGCAGGTAGGATAGAAACATCAGTCAGTTAAGACTTTACCTGGTTAATAACGTCCTTCCAATGATTGCTCAGTTTGTACCCATCCTTACGGTTGAAGTTGTCTGTTTATATATCTGGATGGCTTCATGAACAAATCTCTGAAGGTAGCCGGTAGGTTTGCAGAGTACCTCCATCTTGGAAAAATCAATTTCGTGGAGGTAGTCCCTTAATGCCACCACCTCCATCATCACCATAACTGCCTTTACCTCCATAATCACCATCACCTCCATAATTACTGCTATCACCTCCATTGCCACCATCACCGCCTATAATTTCCACCACCAGCACTTTCACCGCCAGCATGGACATAAGCACCCAGTGCTCCTGCGCTTTATTAGTCTCACGAACGCAGCAACAAAAAAACCCCAGAAATGGACATGGACGTCGACATGAAGGCTGAATGGGTGTACGGCACGCGGCTTCATAAATACCCGGGGGGTGGGGGGCATGGGGAGTTCTACATTCATCGACACCGCGAGAACTTCTGCCAGACAAGAAACGCTACGAACACCGAGGTGAAGGCATGAGGGGGGGGGGGGGGTGTGCCCAGCGACCCCCTCCTCAGAGGTTGGTTGCAGGTCCCTGGTGCAAATGTGTGTGAAGGTGCGTCAAAGAGTGTGTGCGTACGTAAGGATCTCTGAGTACGTAGGGACGTCTAAGTGTGTGGTTAAGGATGCATGGGTGTGTATAGTTTATGTGTATCCGTTCCTGAATGTTCTCACACATGCTTATTAGTGCGGCAGAGTGTAAACTAAACTAAAACTTTTTATTTTACCCGATAAGGCCCACTGAGCTACGTATCTCTTTTCAGAAGCGACCTGGCCACAAATGATAGCGCAACGAAGTGGGTTATCATGTGGATATTTATAGCAGCCAAATACTCTAAACGCATGTTTCTAAATGTGGAGGGAAAACCGGAGGACCCGGAGAAAAATACACGCGAGAGAGACACGCAAACTCCAAATATACAGGCGTCAGGGACAGGATTGAACTCACAACCTCATGTGTACCAGGCGAGGTAGTTGACATCTCACCACCGCGGTGTGCGGAAGTAGGCGTGTATCAGGATGGGTATAGGTAATTGAGGGAGCAGGAGTGTACCAGTGTGTATGTCTGAGAGCAGGAGTGTGTCAGGGTGTGTGGGAGCAGGAGTGTATCAGGGTGTGTCGGAGCAGGAGTGTGTCATTGTGTGTACAGGTGTGGCGGGGTGTGTCACGGTGTTAACGGGAGTGTGCGGGTGTGAACGGCTATGTACGGATATGTACAACCTGTACACATCCGTACATAGCCGTTCGCACCCGTGTGTGGGCGTATACAGGTGTGTACGGGTGTATACGGGGGTGTATGGGTGTATACAGCTGTGGATGGGTGTATACGGGTGTGTATATGGTTGTGTAGGGGTGTGTAGGGGTGTGTGTGTGGCCATTGCCTGTACTGGGCTCAGGCCCCGTTGATTCAAAGACCGCCCTGAGCGTCACAGTCGTCTCACTGGGGCACCCGTCCCAGATGCAGCATCGTTGCTGCAACCGTGCCACACGCAGGGGCCGCTGGGCCCGCATATACGTGCATGCGTGCCACTGGAGCGTGGCATCTAGTTGAGTTTGGGCGTGCGTGGGGACGTGGGCCAGTCGTAGATGTCGGGCAGGAAGGAATCGTACTCCGTGGTGTAGAGCTTGGAGCGCACGTATGCGTCCTTGTCGTGCGGCTCCGGGTAGTGGAACGCCATGTTGTTGGCGTAGACGAACTGGGATACCTGGTGGGCAGGGGGGGGCAGTAGGAGAGGGCGGCAGGGTCAGCGCAAAGTAGGGGGGCCCGCGCGGTCAGAAGAATGCACGACGGAACACGTGCACACACAACACATACACAAACAGGACACATAGCGCACATCCAACACAGTACGTAATACACGCACACATTGCGTACACACAAGACACACACGCACATACGTAGTGCAAACATACAAAACACGCAGACACAATGCACACACAACATGCACACAGCATACACACAACACACGCCCAAACATTCATAGCTCAAACAAAACACAACCGCCATTCACCAATAAGTGGTGGTGACGTCACCACGGCGCCTGTGCCATGCTATGTCCACTTTGAGGTCACGTGAAGTGTCAAAGACTTGCTGGCAAGAGGTCACAGAACAGACCCAGGTTTCATTGGTTGACCGACTGAGATAACTGGCAGATGCACCAACTATTTTCCCCACTGCCAACTTTTCTTAGCCCCCCACAACGCTCCACTCGTTGTTATGAACATCCCCCCTCTACCCTCCACTGTTGCTGGAGGGCAACTGCCTCCAACTTCCCAGCAGCGGAAATGCTTAGTAAACCTGCATATATGACCTTGTGGGTTGGAGATTGGATCGACCGTTCTTTCTCTCCGCAGCACTGTACAGCTCTCTGAACCTCCGAGTAAAGGCTGCGGTAAGTCTAATTTTCCGACGTAAGATACTGTAGATGGTGTAAGTGGGCCTGTCACTTTTTCTAAATTTGCCGAAACAGCTCTTCTGACAGCCAGGGTCTCTAGGGAGGTCTGAACTGCATATCCAATGCAGCTGTTGCAGCTGTATGAGCCAGTACTGAACCTCATCCATTTCCCCTCGGCATCAGGAGGAGGGGAAGATGCCAACTCCACCTGCAAGCGATGATGATATTATCGCTTCCAACCTTCATGAGCTAGGCAAGATCAGGCTATTGTGGTTTTGAATGGGTCTGAGGTGGATGCCCACCACCACATTGGAAGAATGGCAGCCACATTTTACAGGTGACAAGCTGATGGCCTAGGCATATCAGCTCAACGGGAGGTGCTGGTGTCAAGGATATGGGCGCGCATTCACTGTTCCGTCACTAAATAGTCCAGCAGGTGTTCTTGCTTGAACCCAGTGGGCATTCATGATGTTGTATGGATGTCAGAACAGCGTGGTGATTAAAAGCCCATAGGCTGCACCGAAGTCTAGCAGCCTCTTACTGCTGTTATTGAGCTGATTTGGTCAATGCCTTCCAATCACTGCAGCCCAGGTTCCTGCGTTATTGACCCACTCGTGCATTAAGTCACCCAACTGGACGACTATCTCAAGGGCCACATTAACTACAGTGAGGGAAAAAAGTATTCGATCCCCTGCTGATTTTGTACGTTTGCCCACTGACAAAGAAATGATCAGTCTATAATTTTAACGGTAGGTTTATTTGAACAGTGAGGGACAGAATAACAACAAAAAAATCCAGAAAAACGCATGTCAAAAATGTTATGAATTGATTTGCATTTTAATGAGGGAAATAAGTATTTGACCCCTCTGCAAAACATGACTTAGTACTTGGTGGCAAAACCCTTGTTGGCAATCACAGAGATCAGACGTTTCTTGTAGTTGGCCACCAGGTTTGCACACATCTCAGGGGGGATTTTGTCCCACTCCGCTTTGCAGATCTTCTCCAAGTCATTAAGGTTTTGAGGCTGACGTTTGGCAACTCGAACCTTCAGCTCCCTCCACAGATTTTCTATGGGATTAAGGTCTGGAGACTGGCTAGGCCACTCCAGGACCTTAATGTGCTTCTTCTTGAGCCACTCCTTTGTTGCCTTGGCCGTGTGTTTTGGGTCATTGTCATGCTGGAATACCTATCCACGACCCATTTTCAATGTCCTGGCTGAGGGAAGGAGGTTCTCACCCAAGATTTGACGGTACATGGCCCCGTCCATCGTCCCTTTGATGCGGTGAAGTTGTCTTGTCCCTTTAGCAGAAAAAAAGCATGATGTTTCCACCTCCATGTTTGACGGTGGGGATGGTGTTCTTGGGGTCATAGGCAGCATTCCTCCTCCTCCAAACACGGCGAGTTGAGTTGATGCCAAAGAGCTCCATTTTGGTCTCATCTGACCACAACACTTTCACCCAGTTGTCCTCTGAATCATTCAGATGTTCATTGGCAAACTTAAGACGGGCATGTATATGTGGTTTCTTGAGCAGGGGGACCTTGCGGGCGCTGCAGGATTTCAGTCCTTCACGGCGTAGTGTGTTACCAATTGTTTTCTTGGTGACTATGGTCCCAGCTGCCTTGAGATCATTGACAAGATCCTCCCGTGTAGTTCTGGGCTGATTCTTCACCGTTCTCATGATCATTGCAACTCCACGAGGTGAGAGGGAGATTGACAGTTCTTTTGTGTTTCTTCCATTTGCGAATAATCGCACCAACTGTTGTCACCTTCTCACCAAGTTGCTTGGCAATGGTCTTGTAGCCCATTCCAGCCTTGTGTAGGTCTACAATCATGTCCCTGACATCCTTGGAGACCTCTTTGGTATTGGCCATGGTGGAGAGTTTTGAATCTGATTGATTGATTGCTTCTGTGGACAGGTGCCTTTTATACAGGTAACAAGCTGAGATTACGCACACTCCCTTTAAGAGTGTGCTCCTAAACTCAGCTCGTTACCTGTATAAAAGACACCTGGGAGCCAGAAATCTTTCTGATTGAGAGGGGGTCAAATACTTATTTCCCTCATTAAAATGCAAATCAATTTATAACATTTTTTACATGCGTTTTTCTGGATGTTTTTGTTGTTATTCTGTCTCTCACTGTTCAAATAAACCTACCATTAAAATTATAGACTGATCATTTCTTTGTCAGTGGGCAAACGTACAAAATCAGCAGGGGATCAAATACTTTTTTCCCTCATTGTACCACCTTTGACAAGAGGTCATAGAAGGAATCAGATGCATCAGCTTTGCCTGTATCTCTCTACTGATGTTCATTTTCAGTGGCAGCGTAAGCCACCATCACCATTTCTCGCCTCCCGGTGATGGGAAGGGGAGTCCACAGTAGCCTTGAACTCAGATTCAAACACCTCACCGCCACGCACCCACGCCCCCTTCATTATTTGGTTCAGAAGAAGAGCCACTCCCTGTTGTTTGGCGGTTTCCTGCCCTGAGTGGAGGACTCTCCACCCCTCACTGGACCTCCTGTATTCCACAGATGTCCAGGCAGTACCGGTCCAGCTTCCGACAGGGGAATGGAAACCTCTCCTCCGCAGTAAGAATTCAGAAATTTCATTTGGCAGACCTCAGTAGTTTCCTGCAGTATTTAAAGGAACTCCAAGGGTTGTAGTCCAGTGATCCGGCTCCAATAATGGAGTTTGGCCAGGAGACGTCATAGATGCCTGTTCCACCAGGACCTCCGATACAAGCTTGTTTTTATCTTTTATTCGTGGTTTAATGGTACTTGAATTGAAAGTAGAGAAGTTGCCAGCCCCTTGCACAAGTCCGCTATATCGGCTCCGAACAACATGAGGGGAACTGGAGGATAGAATCGGCCTTCCCCCCCAATGGCATTGCTCAAAAGTCACCACTGTGCTCCTGAGCCGCAATCACCGAGGAGGTGGGGGTTGTTTTTTCTGGTCATGTATACATTTACACAGACACATATGCATGCAGCGTACACACATGCACATACCATGCACATACCATGCACATAAGGGCAAGCGGGGCAGGGAGTGGATGCAGCACCTTGACGGCGATGTTGATGGACACCTCCTGGATGTCGGAGAGGGGCGGATACAGGAGACCTTGGCTCAGCGACTCCTCGGTCACCTGCTCAGCCAGAGTCTGCAGGGGGGAGGGCCGGGAGGGAGTCTCTCTTGAACACCAGATAATGTGGGTGACACACGGGTGTAAGTGAGGGCAGCGCGCGGGCGGGGGCTATGTGCAGGTGAAGGTGAAAATACCTTGGCCGCCTCGAGGAACACCTTGTCCTTAATGTGGCGCACGCCGCAAAGAATCACAGCCAGGGCCACGCCTGCCAAGGACACACACGTACACACACATAAACGGACACATACACACACACGTACAGCAATGCATGCACACATACACACACAGGCACGTGCACACACGACGTTACACACACAATGTGTTTTAGCATAGAAAGTGTGAGCATGGGGTGTATGTGTTTGCTGCAGTGTGTGTGCGAGAGGATGTCACTCCTCTGTCAGGAGCGGGACCGATACTGCCTGGATCTTTGCAGTATGTATTCAGGAGGTCCGGTGGACTGGCTCTGGTTCCAGTCACCATGAAGGGTAGACAATGGATGCACGCAAGGCCGATGAGTTAGATGCCTTCTATGACCTTCTGTCACAGATGCTAACTCAAGTGGCCCCACGGGAAAGTGATAATTTTGGGTGACTTTAATGGTAGACTTCTGTGCAGAACCATGGGCTTGTAATTACACACTGTTCCAGCATCGGTCCATCCACATAACATCATGAATGCACACTGGGTCCAAGCAAAAACATCTGCTAGACTATGTAGTGATGGAACAGCAGATGCCAAGACACCAAGACCTACAATGGAGCTGATCTGCCACTGACCATCGGCTAGTCATGTGTAAGATGCGCCTGCCATTCTTCCACTCCGGTGGTGAGTGTCCTTCTAGGACCCTATTCAAACCCACAGTGGCCTGGTCTCAGCTAGCTGATGAAAGTTGCAAGCAAAAATTTCATCATTGCGTGCAGCTGGAGTTGGCATCGTCATCCCCTCCTCCTGAATACTGAGGGGAAATGAGCGAGGTTTAGGACTGTGGTTCATGCATCTGCAATGGCTGTTTTGGGTACACGGTCCAAATTTCCCCAGAGACCCTAGCTGATTGAGGAGGTATTCTGGCTGGCTGAGAAAAAGCGACAGGCCCACTCCCAGTCTACAGCATTCTACATCAGAAAATTAGGCTTACTGCAGCCTTCACTCGGAAGTTCGGAGAGCCAAGCAGCGCTGCAAGGATGAGTGGTGGTCGGGGGTTGCTGAGAAGATGTAATCTGCCTCAGTAGCCCGTGATCCCAAAGCACTCTTTAATTCCATAAAAAAAGTCACCTGCAGCGCCACACCTATCACCATCCTTATGGGAAAGAAAGGTGATGCGATTTCTGACCCCTCTGAACAGCTTTGCAGGTTTGCGGAGCATTTCTGTGAGTTTTTGGGGGAGGGGAAATCCCTCAGCCCATAAAACATCATGGGGAAAAGTGGGGATGATCCTGCGGAGGCTATGGTGCCTCAAATATTGAAAGAAGTTGTCACCCGCTGTGAGTGGCTGGCTGAAGTGCCATCTGTTGAGGAAGTACGAAAGGCGATCCAGAGTCTGAGACGAGGAAAAGCACTGGGCAGATAATCTTCCAAGCGAACTGCTGAGGGAGGGTGACGTTTATGTGCAGACTGCCCTATATGACATCGTAATAACAGTCTGGACCACTGAACGGGTTCTGTAGGATTGGAAGGATGCCATAGTGGTCTCCCTCTTTAAGAAGGGAAACCCGCTCAGACTGTAACAACTACAGGAGCATCTCCCTCCTCAGTGAGCCGGAAAAGGTCCTGGCAAGGATAATTCAGCATCGCCTTGCCAGGCACGCTGAAGAGAGGGCAGTCATGCACAGACGCCATATATTCTGTCCGTCTGCTACAGCAGAGGTGTAGGGAATTCCAATAAGACCTACATCTCTGCTTTATGGACCTGGTCAAGGCCTCTGATACCATCAATAGGCCTAGACTCTGGGTTGTTCTTTGTGCTTTCGGAGTCCCTGACTGTCTGCTCACAATCATTAAGGACCTTCATGATAGAGAGCAGGCCCAGGTAAAGCTACATGGCTGGAAGTCGGAGCCATTCTCCGTTCACCTTGGGGTGAGACAGCGATGTCCTCTGGCTCCCACATTATTTTGAAAAAATGTCGATCACGTAGTTCGTAAAGCCTTCGATCGCTGTACCGGAGGAATTCCCATCTGGTACAGATACAATGGGAGGCTGATCGATGTTCAGGTGCCATCAAGGGATGGCTCCCTATTGATCAACCATGTTACGTATGCTAATGATCGAGTGATTGCTGCTCACTCAGAGGAGGAGTTGGAGGTGCTGCTGCTGAACCTGGAGTGTGCTACTAAGAGGTGGGGCCTTACTATCAGCCACAGTTGTGGAGAGAGTGGAGAGTTATCTATACCTGGGCAGTGTGCTCATGACCGGCTCCAGTTTTACAGCAGAAGTCTCACTCCAAATTTAGTCAAGTGGCATTATCTTTTCATCGGTTGCATAATGCTGTATGGAAGCTACCTGGTCTGTCGTTCCACACGAAGCTTCGGCCACGGTCATGCCCTCCATTCTCTATGCTTGCGAAACATGGACCCCCTAATGGAACATCTTTGCCGGTTAGAAACATTTGGACTGGCTTGCCTATGATCCATCCTGAGTTTAACCAAGTTGGATTGTGTGAGGAGTTCACAAATCCTTGAGACATCTGGACAAAGTCCCATTAGTGAGCTCCTCCGGCAGGCAAGGCTGCTCGGCTGGGTCATGTAGCCCGCATGCGCAGTCACGGCATGCCTAAACAGCTTTTGTTTTGGCCGAATAGGGAGGGATAAATGGGCAAGGAATGGTCTAGAGAGGAGACAGACTGATGTGGTACAAGAGGATGTGGAGCTAATGGACTTGCCGATGACTGGTACCAGCAGTGTCAAGATCGCCTCTGTGGAGGAGGCTCGTGAAGGATGCTACTGGGCAGTTGGAGGCAGTCGCCCTCCAGCAACAACGGAGGGCAGAGGAGCAGTACTCACAACAATCGGAGCGCCGGGTGGCTAAAACACAGCAAGTTGGCACAGGAGGGGGCACAGGTGGTGCATCGGCCAGTCATCTGAGTCAGTAAACCCATGGCACCTGGGTCTGTCCGGTGACCTCTTGCCAGCAGGCATTCGACACTGCAAGTGGCCTTAAAGTGCACATAGCCTGGCACAAGTACTGTGGAGATGTCACCACCACTTAGTGGTGAATGGCAGTAATTGTTGGTGTGTGTGGGAAGTGGTGGCGCAGCAGTGTATACTGCACTATGAACTCTTCCACCAAAGTTCGATTCCTGCTCACAGCCAATAGCAATGACGATTGTCTTAACCGGTCCTGGGCCTTCTCTAGGTCGACTCAGCCTCAAATAAGTACCTGATGTGGTGTATAAGCATCGCTACTGGGGAGACAAAAGCGGTCGGGCATGGTGTTGGCCACCCACCCCCTCATGTACCATGCTAGCCTTTATTAGGTGCTTGCTAACAGCACTTGCTCCTACAGAGTGTTAAGGCTATACTGGGGGATCTTTGTCTTCGTGTGCGAGCGCAGTGTGTGTGAAGCGCATCACCAGGAAAGATGTACGCGTTGTTGCCCTGGCCAGGCCTGAAGATGCGACCGTCCGGCAGAGTGACTGGGTCGAAGGGGCTTCCACTAGCAAACAGGCACCGCCCCTACAATGACATGGGATCATCAGACTCAACAGCACTGCACAGCCACTCCTCTTGGGAGTACGGACGTTCAGTGGTGATTGCATGTATATGACAGTCTAATTGTGTGCGTGACCGTATATTGATGAGTGCCTACAGTGAGGGAAAAAAGTATTTGATCCCCTGCTGATTTTGTACGTTTGCCCACTGACAAAGAAATGATCAGTCTATAATTTTAATGGTAGGTTTATTTGAACAGTGAGAGACAGAATAACAACAAAAACATCCAGAAAAACGCATGCCAAAAATGTTATAAATTGATTTGCATTTTAATGAGGGAATAAGTATTTGACCCCCTCTCAATCAGAAAGTTTTCTAGCTCCCAGGTGTCTTTTATACAGGTAACGAGCTGAGATTAGGAGCACACTCTTAAAGGGAGTGCTCCTAATCTCAGCTTGTTACCTGTATAAAAGGTACCTGTCCAGAAGCAATCAATCAATCAGATTCCAAACTCTCCACCATGGCCAAGACCAAAGAGCTCTCCAAGGATGTCAGGGACAAGATTGTAGACCTACACAAGGCTGGAATGGGCTACAAGACCAAACAGCTTGGTGAGCAGATGACAACAGTTGGTGCGATTATTCGCAAATGGAAGAAACACAAAAGAACTGTCAATCTCCCTCGGCCTGGGGCTCCATGCAAGATCTCACCTCGTGGAGTTGCAATGATCATGAGAACGGTGAGGAATCAGCCCAGAACTACACGGGAGGATCTTGTCAATGATCTCAAGGCAGCTGGGACCATAGTCACCAAGAAAACAATTGGTAACACACTACGCCGTGAAGGACTGAAATCCTGCAGCGCCCGCAAGGTCCTCCTGCTTAAGAAAGCAAATATAAATGCCCGTCTGAAGTTTGCCAATGAATATCTGAATGATTCAGAGGACAACTGGGTGAAAGTGTTGTGGTCAGATGAGACCAAAATGGAGCTCTTTGGCATCAACTCAACTCGCCATGTTTGGAGGAGGAGGGATGCTGCCTATGACCCCAAGAACACCATCCCCCACCGTCAAACATGGAGGTGGAAACATTATGCTTTGGGGGTGTTTTTCTGCTAAGGGGACAAGACAACTTCACCGCATCAAAGGAACGATGGACGGGGCCATGTACCGTCAAATCTTGGGTGAGAACCTCCTTCCCTCAGCCAGGGCATTGAAAATGGGTCGTGGATGGGTATTCCAGCATGACAATGACCCAAAACACACGGCCAAGGCAACAAAGGAGTGGCTCAAGAAGAAGCACATTAAGGTCCTGGAGTGGCCTAGCCAGTCTCCAGACCTTAATCCCATAGAAAATCTGTTGAGGGAGCTGAAGGTTCGAGTTGCCAAACGTCAGCCTCGAAAACCTGGTGGCCTTCTACAAGAAACGTCTGACCTCTGTGATTGCCAGCAAGGATTTTGCCACCAAGTACTAAGTCATGTTTTGCAGAGGGATCAAATACTTATTTCCCTCATTAAAATGCAAATCAATTTATAACATTTTTGGCATGCGTTTTTCTGGATGTTTTTGTTGTTATTCTGTCTCTCACTGTTCAAATAAACCTACCATTAAAATTATAGACTGATCATTTCTTTGTCAGTGGGCAAACGTACAAAATCAGCAAGGGATCAAATACTTTTTTCCCTCACTGTATGTACACAAGCCTGTGAGTGTGTGTGCATGTGCGTGTGGTGTGAGGACGTTGTGTGTGAGCATTCGTCTATGAGCGTGTGTGCGTACATCTGCGAGTGTGTGCCAATGGTGTGTGAGAGCACGGTAAGTGTGCGCATGGTGTGTGAGTGTGTTTGCGTGTGTGGACGTCCGTGAACATGTGTGCATACATCTGTGAGTATTTGAGCATGTGTGCGTATGTCTGTGAGCATGTGTGTGTTTGCCTAGCGGGCAGAGATGATCTCCCAAGCGAAATGCTGAGGGAGGGCGGCGTTTGTGCAGACTGCCCTATATGACATCATAACAACAGTCTGGACCACTGTACGGGTTCCGCAGGATTGGAAGGATGCCCTGGTGGTCCCCCTTTTTAAGAAGGGGGACCACACAGACTGTAACAAATACAGGGGCATCTCACTCCTCAGTGTGCCGGGAAAGGTCCTGGCAAGGATTATTCAACATCGCCTTGCCAGGCACGCTGAGGAGAGGCTTGCGGAGCCCCAATGCAGTTTCAGGAAAGGGCGGTCCTGCACAGATGGCATATTTTCTGTCCGTCTGCTACAGCAGAGGTGTAGGGAATTCCAACAAGACCTACATCTCTGCTTTATTGACCTGGTCAAGGCCTATGATACCATCAGTAGGCCTGGGCTCTGGGTTGTTCTTCGTGCTTTTGGAGTACCTGACCCTCTGCTCATGATCATTAAGGACCTTCATGATGGTGAGCGGGCCCGGGTAAAACTACGTGGCCGGGAGTCAGAGCCATTCCCTGTTAACCTTGGGGTGCGACAGGGATGTCCTCTGGCTCCCACATTATTTAACATCTATTTTGACCACGTAGTTCGTGAAGCCTTCAATAGCTGTACCGAGGGAATCTCCATATGGTACAGATTTAATGGAAGGCTGATCGATGCCCGGGTGCGGTCAAGGGATGGCTCCCTATTGTTCAACCACGTTATGTATGCTGATGATTTGGTAATAGCTGCACATTCGGAGGAGGAGTTAGAGACGCTGCTGCTGAGATTGGAGCGTGCCACTAAGAGGTGGGGCCTTACCATCAGCCCCACCAAAACTAAGTACCTGCCTGGGTATTTTGTACCATCGGACACTCCACCCCCACAACTCCCAATCGGTGATGGGGCAGTTGTGGAGAGAGTGGAGAGTTTCCCATACCTGGGCAGTGTGCTTATGACTGGCTCCAGTTTAACAACAGAGGTCTCACTCCGAATCAGTCGAGCGGCAATATCTTTTCATCGGTTGCGTAACGCTGTGTGGAAGCTACCTGGTCTGCCGCTCCGCACTAAGCTTCAGGTCTTTGCGAAACGTGGACCCCCCTAATGGAACATCTTCGCCAGTTAGAAACATTTCGGCTGGCCTGCCTACGATCCATCCTGGGTTTAACCAGGCTGGATTGTGTGAGGAGCTCAAAAATCCTTGAAAGATCTGGGCAAGGTCCCATCGGTGAGCTCCTCCGGCGGGGAAGGCTGCGATGGCTGGGTCATGTAGCCCGCATGCCCAGCCACCGCATGCCGAAACAGCTTTTGTTCGGCCGGATTGAGGGGGCTAAGCAGGCGCGGCACGGGCTAGAGAAGAGATGGGAGTGATGTGGTACAGGAGGACGTGGAGCTGAGTGGACTTGCCAATGACTGGTACCAGCGGTGTCAAGATTGGCCTCTGTGGAGGAGGCTCGTGAAGGATGCTACTGGGCAGTTGGAGGTAGTCGCCCTCCAACAACAACGGAGGGTGGAGGAGCGACGCTCAGAACAACGAGCAGAGCGCCGGGTGGCTAAAGCACAGCAGGTTGGCACAGTAGGGGGCACAGGTGGTGCATCAGCCAGTCATCTCAGTTAGTCGACCCGTGGCACCTGGGTCTGCCCCGTGACCTCCTGCCAGCGGGCGTTAGACACTTCACGTGGCCTCAGGGTGCACATAGCCTGGCACAAGCGTCGTGGTGACGTCACCGCCACTTAGTGGCGAATGGAGGTTGTTGTTGTTATTTGCCTACGTCTATGAGAAGTGTGTATGTATGCGTATATCTGTAAGCATGTGTGTCTGTATGTGTGTGTCCGGAAAAACAACACCCTACCTCCTCGTGGTGCTGGACGGGCAACGCTGTCGTAGGCAGTGCTATGGCGGGAATGCCAATTCCGATTGGCCTTTCCCCTCCTCATGGCGAGGAGCTGGTAACCCCTCCACCTTCAATTAATTACCGCTAAACCACGACGGAAACTTTTTATTAATAAGCTTGTGCCGGAGGCCCCGAGGGGACAGGCGTCTATGATGTGGGAGAGGTACTACGGAGCTGTGGGGGGTGGCCATTGTATTGTGAGAGATTAGCATGTCAATGTGAGAAATTTAAAGCTCGGCAGGAACTCTGACAGTGCAGTGGCCATATGGAGAGGGAAAAGAATAGCAAGCCGCCATTTACTAACACAGCTAACGGTGGCTGTGTTAGTTGCCATTCTTTTCCACCTCCATGTGGCCACTGCGCTGTCCGAGCTCTTGTCGAGCTTCAAATTTCTCACATTGACATGCTAATCTCTCACAATACAATGGCCACCCCCCACAGCTCCGTAGTACCTCTCCCGCATTGGCATTAGATGCCCCACCCATCTCAACCATTTGTAAACAGCTCTTTAATTGGTGTAGACCTACTGCAGGTTAAGGAAACCTCTCCTACATTAACATTAGCTGCCCCGCCAAACTCTAAACCTTAATAAACAGCCTGCCTCGGCAGATTTCCCCATCTTTTTTCACCTGAAGACGATTGCTTGTGTTGCAATTGAAACGTCGTGATATTGTATTATTTTTTCTATCTACGTGGCTTTACCGAAAGACCCAAATAATATGAATTCCTTCAGTCACGAAAGCTTTAAGCCAAGATTTAACCGCCTCTATGGGGAGGATTTCCACACAACTATTAGATCTTTCAACAAACTTCGAGACAAGAAGGCTCATCTGATCGAGTCGCTAACTTTTCTGAAGAGATGCCACGACACTAAGGTAATACCGATTGCCTTTACACTCACATCTATTGCTGTCACTTCTAATGCTAATCGGATCTTGTTCAGGGCCAGCCTAGCCCTGATCTCAGAGAGAATAATATTGCTCCGATTTGAACTTGATAATTTAGACAAGACTCTCTTACAATCACACCTAATATTAACAGATAAAATGTCCACTTCTGATTGGGACCATGTAGATAACATGACAGCCTCTTCACCCGCCTCAATGTCAGTTAAATGCAAAGATAACTTGATTTCCAAGTTCAACCTCCTCTCCAAGAAGAAGCCAGATCCAGACACTAAAAAGGTAGATGGT